ATCATACTCTTAGAATAACAAAAACAACCCTGGGAAACTCTGATAAAGGGGAAAAAAAACACCTGGAGGTCTGCTGTACTATCTACTGCTCTATACTTATCTCCTGTATGGTCATCAGAGGATCAACCTTGAAAACCTGGAGAATATCTAATGGAATGACTTTTGAATACTAACTAGCAATTTAAAGAGTGGACTTAAGGAGCTATTTGGAAAAACCCCTGGTCTGTATAAATGGAACTGACTAACTGTGGGATATAAAGAACTATAACTATTATATCTCCTGATGAACAATGTTAAGATTAAGTAACTTGCTGGCTTTGGGAAGTTAAAAAGAATAGATCTTTGAGTGGTGACAGATTATTGACAGAACACTGAGTAATATTTGGACTTTTTAAAACAAGATAAAAGATGGCTCATCAGGAAGAACTGGAGACACTTCAAAAAGAAACTATGTTGATGATCCAAAGTCTCTATGATACTATGATGAGGAATTCCAGGGAGATAAGAGATTTATTACACCACATAACTGGAAAGACTGAAAATGTGCAACAAGGAATAATGAATCAAGATAATCAAAGGAGAATATATATTAGGAGGTAGAAAAATGGAACTGAATAAATTGAAAGATACTTTTGGGGAAAAGACAGAGGATTTGGCAGACTCGGGGGTGGACTGGCAGCAAAAAATAGTGGAGATGGAAATAAGGGATGGACTGAATAGGAAAGATGTAGATAAGGACCCTAAGATGGGAGGGATGTTATAAAGAGAAGAAATAAAACTTCTAGGAGGATGAGAGATGACGGATAGAAAGGATCCTTTTTAAAAACAAGAAGATTGGCTGTATTAAGAATTAGAATAGATTGAGAGATTAGGAATAGGGGGAATATTGTTATACATATTTTTGCACAACACATTTAAAGTGAAAGATAGAGGTTGAAACCAGACTTTGAAAAAGGGTGCTCAAGAATAAAGTTATTACTATTAGAAGGGTGTAGCAAATATTGAATAACTGAAGAATGAAGGATTATGTGCTGATACAAATATGTATAATAACATTAGAACTATGTAAGTTTGATTAATGTAATAATTCTCATTTGTACCAATATTATTTTTGTATCAATATGAATGGCACTCAGATGCCACACTGTCCATGTAATAATATTGATGTATATTTAAAAATAAAAAAACTTGACCAAAAAAATCCAACCAAGAACTACCTATATTTTCCTCATATATTAAACATGCATGTTACTGAGTTACTTAATAGAATTCCAAATAAAATATGACTGTAATAGAACAGATTCCAAATTCTTTTTACCCAAGGCATGTTTTATAAGATCAGGCACTAAATACAATAAGCTGTTAGTTGAAAAAACTCTAGATTTTTCCTTGACATTTTGAGTTATGCTAACCTGGCAAGGAACCCAAACTCCTCTTATACTGCCATCCCAGGAAACACTTTGTTTTCTGGCAAAGATATAATCCAGGATATGCACACCATGGCACATTCAGGACACTACAACTACACAAAGTCTTTTACAGGAAGATAGGCAATTATGCAATTGAGATTTCACTCACAGCAAGACTGCACATGTGAAAATTAACCAACACCCCATTCCTTTGTAACAGAAGTAATGTATTTCTTACCATTGTTGTCTGGCTTGCATATTTTTCTGTCCATTGTCTGGCATTTTTGAGAAATGCTTGCTTGTTGTATTTATATTCTGAAGACTAGACATAATAAAAAAGGGTGAGGGAAGGATAATTATGGCCTCTCATCTTAACATATTTAATGGCAGATTCATCTGACAGCATGGAATACTTCACCCTATAGATATATACATAAAGGCTAAACTTTGAAAGAGGCCTTAATATATTGCATGTAACGTGTGAATTTTGTAGCATGAACATTGAAAAATTCTATTAGCATGTTTTGCTACGCCATAAATTATATCCATTGACTTTCTATATGAAGAATTTGTGCAAATAAATATGAAGAAATCACAAAGTATCTCCTTGTAAACCAGGCAATTTAAATTTCTAAAGTACAGTATATTCCAATTAAATAAAAGAATGAAACCTACTATATCAGCCATGAGAGGGTCATCAGGATTAGGTTCATTCATGAGGATCTGGATGGAAGTTAACAAAGTAGCAATGTTCAAGGATGGCCTCCAAGCACCCTTACATGTAATAAAAGAAAAAATATATTGAAGAAAGTAAATTATCCTCCAAGATTTTTTAAATATTATTGCAGACTGAGTGTTTTCATTGCTTCCCAAGTTATAGAAGTATAGTCTGCAGTTAAGATTGCAGAGTAATCTCATCTCTTAATGAACATGCATTTCTTTACCTTCTAACCAGTTAGGCATATACTTTTTCTAATGCAGCCCTAAGTTACTCAGTTAAGTTTATGTACACACTAGTTTCTTTTCCAATATTCAGTGGCTCCTAGAAATCACTTAAACAGCTTAATATACATTGAGCTTAATATATTACTGGTGGATGGAAGTAAGCAAGTTCTGTCCACCTTGATGTACATAAATTTGGTAACTTTCTAGTTTTTAGGTTTATGGTTCTGGCTGTTATTCATAGATTCATGGAAGCTATATCCATGAATAATAGTAATTCAAGTGTATGATGAAATAAACATATTGCAAAAATATCACTTCACACATAAAATAGCATTCTAAAAGCTCCTAAGCTTTACAACAAAATTACTTCAGCAGGACAAACTCAGCAAATGATCTCTTTCTAAGCAAATTGCATGCCAGGGACTGCATCCTGCAGTCTTCCTCCTGTTCCTCAAGGTTATTTCTTCTGCCTATTTCAGATAATGGACCTTTAGATAAAATTAAAGTCCTGTTGTCACAGGCCTTTAGAAGAAAAGAGTGCAATCCCTGCTATTCATTATTCCAGAGTGTTATAAATTTCATCCCAGTAAAACCAACCTTGGAGAATGAGATTTTTAAACTAATGTTTCTGGGCCATTCTCTTAAGGATAATAGAACTGCAAAGAGGGCTGTGAAAATATTTACAGACCCCTCACATCCTGGACATAAACTGTTTCAACTCCATCCCTCAAAACGACGCTATAGAGCACTGCACACCAGAACAACTAGATACAAGAACAGTTTTTCCCGAAAGCCATCACTCTGCTAAACAAATAATTCCCTCAACACTGTTCAACTATTACAAAATCTGCACTACTATTACTGTTAATCTTCTCATCACTCCTTATTACCCATCCCCTCCCCACTTGTGATTGTAGGACTGTAACTTTGTTGCTTGTATCCTTATGATTTATATTTACTGTTTCCTAGTATAATTTGATTGCTGATTGTACCCTATGACTATCATTAAGTGTTGTACGTTATGATTCTTGATTCTTAACAAATGTAAGGATAATAGAACTGCAACTTATAATAGAAGCAAGGCAGTGCATTACCTTGGGTGGTAATCTAAGAACATCCAGGCAAATTCTTCCAGCTGAATCAATGTTGGGATGGTAAATGGGAGTAAGAAAGCGCATTTTTGGAGGTTCAAATGGATACCTATTTCAGAAATAGTTCTCATTATTAGAAAAGGAAGACTTTTTAACGGGTTACAATCTGTTCTTTATTCTCAAGTCATTTTTCAAGTTATACATCCCAATTACTTGTTACTGAATTTACTACAAAGAAGTTCATTGACAACTTTCTGGTTCCTATTCCAATCTTTTGAAGATTCATAGTTAATATGCCCATTTTATATGGCCATTTATTTTAAATTTCAAAACCTCAGATTCAACATTTACCTTTCAGGGACAATTACTTCCAAGGCAAAAACTCCTTTTTCATATGGGGTATTTGTACATCCTAGTATTTCTAAAAGAAAGAGATATAAATGGTGTCAACACTGACCTCTTTAAATAATTATTGCGCCTACTGTAAAAACAGTGTTAGATCTAAGAACTGACAATAGTATAGTAATCTCTTTAACATCTGTTCTATTCAACAAATTGAGCAGACTAGGAACGAAGAGTCCTAGTCAGTCTGATAATTACCGATTATTCAAAGTTGGAAAGTAAATTAGGACACATTTAACAGTGGATTTCCACAATTTCAAGTACAGGGTTTCTGGCTAAGAAAAAAAGCAATAGGAACTACAACAACTACTTGAAAAAGGAGTAAGTTTTCTATTTCCTATTATAAAATGATCAATTATTTTCTATCTTTTGCATATACACACAGAAATACATAGACATACATCTTTCTTCTACATTAGCAAAGTGGGTTTCTTTATTCTGAAGATAAATGTATGGGCAGGGGTGGGAGAGGCGAACCAGAATAGGAAAAAAATCATATAGGCTCAAATTTCTTAAGTATCAATAGATCCAGGATAAACAGAATAAATGTTCTTATCTAAAAAGGATTGAAACCTATAGAAAATGAAATATCAAAAAACAGCCATGTGTGACTGGTTTAATTATTAAAGTTTAACTACTTTCTGAAATTATAAGTAAATTATGACAGCTGCTTAATTTTTCAGTTTTAAGACTGAGTTATTTTTAAATACATTTTAAGTTGTTTATACACTTTGTAAATATACTATTGTTATAGTATATTAGCTAATGCCAAATAGAGAAATCTGATAATATAAAGTTTAAAGATATGTAAGCATAAGATTTAAGATTGTGTTTTGCCTTAGATTTAATTGCAAAAAGATTCTTTATAGTGGCATACACAACAGATGCAATGGCTTTACAAAACAATCAGGCTCTATATTTTTGTCATATGTTTTATACTACCCTTTTGGAGTCAATTCCAAAGACCTAACAAGCTTTCCAGCAAAGCAGGCCCTGAAAGTTACTCAAGGGGAAAGAAGAATAAATTATGCAAAATAAGAAAATATATAAAAATATAATTAACTGCGGAGAATTTCCGGTTTGTCGGCTTTGCGAGCGGTAGGGATTCGCGAAGCTGCGCGATCCCTGCCGCGCTAGCCGCTTTTGGGGCTCCGATCCGAAAGGGTGCGGAGCAAGGCTGCCCTGCAGGGGCAGCTGAAGCTAGGGGGGATCCGGAAAAGGGTTTGGGGGTGTTGCAGACCCCCTCCCTGGCCGGCAGAACCTCCTTTTACCAAGACGGCGTAGCGGCGGTCCGTAATGGCCGCCACAAAGAAGCCGGCAGCTGGGCAAGTATGCGCAGGAGGAAGAGGAGAAAGTTTTTAAAAGTGAAAGTCTTCTTGGTCGATCCAGGACTCTGAGATATATTTAATTTAATTCCTGGAAGTGATGGCTTTTTGGATGATTCTTTCCACAAGAGAAAGTAAGCGGCAATTCTGAGGTGCTGAAAGGAAAGTTTACTCTCCCTCCCGACGGAATTAACAAACGGATATTGAGAAACCTGTTTTTTTGTCAGGTAAAACTAGCTTTATGGGATAAGTCGGAAGGGAGAGGACAAAAAATATATTTATCTGGTTGGATTTTGTTGGAGGAGATGCCTTCAGGATTTGGAGACAGAAATAAAATTTTAATAAGGCTTCAAAACACAGATTTGGATTTTCTTTTTTCCTTTGTCTGATACTACCCCTGGAAGAGAAAGTGGAAATTTTGGCTTGGCTTGGCTTGATTGAGGATTGTGGACTTTGGGATTGTCTTACTTTTCTTTTGGAATATTTTGGTTGGAGTAAGAAGAAAGAGGGAAAAAAGAAAAGAAAAGATTTATAATGGCTTTCTCCCTTGAGGAACTGAGGGGTGAATATGAGCAAACAAAAGCAGCCTGTAAAGATGGCATGGAAAAAGCTTTTCTATTTTTAGAAATGGTGCTGGTTAACTATGAACAGACAATGCGACAGATGGAACAACAAGAAGAAGAAGACGAAGACACCATCTTTAATGAATCCCAAAATTTATCTAAGAAAGAAGGAAGGAAGAAAGCGAGGAAAATGAAGGATTTAAGATCTAAAAAAAACATTTAAGAAAGAGAAAAATATGATGCAAAATAAATACAATGATAGCAAACAAGAGAAAAAGGGAATACAACAGAGAAGGGATGCCAGCAAGACAGAGGTTAGAAGAAGGGGGGGTAGGAAGATCTGGTGGGGGAAGAAAGAAAGGGGAAAGGCGGAGAAAAGCCACAAAGTTTTAAAATTGGATGGGAAAAGAGGAATCTTTTTCAGGGATAAAGGGTAAAGTATAAATTTTCTTAAAAAAGATTTTGCAAGGTACATAAGACGGTATTGTAATATTTGTATTAGAAATAGAAAATTAGAATGGCTTAAGAGTTAATAAGAAATTAAAATGTTGAAATGTTTAATAATGATTGATTTTTAAAATGTAATAAAATATTGAAGGGAAAGGCAATGAGAATGCTATAAGATTTATTATTTAGATTTATTATTTAACTACGTATTTAGGAGGATACTATGTATTTAAACATTTCCGATTTATTACTGTTTTTATTGTTATTAAAAGTAAAAATTAATAGATAGAATGTACCAAGCAGAATCAGATTGGATATTAGGTGTCATTTTAAATGTTAATCTAATATTTAGGGAGAGGATAGAAAGGCATCATACTCTGATTAGAGATTTCAGGAGAAATTCTTTTTTTTTTTTTCATTATAAGGAATGAGATAGAGGGATAATAAAGGATGGGCAAAAGATACAAATATAATGATTTAAATTAAGATGGATTGAATAAGATAGAATTATGAAGAGTGAAATGTGTGGAGAAGTATATATAGAAGATACAGAATGGTAAACAAAATAGGTAATGATCTGTAAGATGAGCATGAATATAATCAAGCCCATATAAAGAGAGGTACCGGGGGCCAAGTTACTTTACTAAAAGATTTTTTATATGTTTGTTTGTGTCTGTTTATGTTTTTGAGAAGTATTGGTGGAACCTTTTAGAAATACAGAAAGAGAATGACGATAATCAAGTCAGAAAGAAATAGAGGACAAGAGATGTTTTTATGCTCATTTAGAAATGGTTTAAAATAGAATTGTATTGTATAAGATAAGGTTTTATCTGACTTGTAAAATTTATAATGGAAAAAGGTTCAAATATGTAATGGTTGATGATGATTTGTTTGTTTTTGAAATTAATAAAACTTGTTTAAAATATATATATATAATTAACTGCATAATTCAAAATCATAATTTATGAAATTCATTTAGTCACATTTATAAATCCTCTAAATGACTGATAAGGCAATAGTCAATGTCAATTGATAATCATCATCATTCAAAAAACCCTAAAACTAGAGAACGACAGCTTTTTTACCCTCATCTATAAGAACTCTATGATGTGCTCACTTTCAAATTACAAATATGTATTATTTTACCAAAGTACATATTCTTTCATTTCAAGCAAATAATTATTTTGCCCAATATTTATTCTTACTTGGTCCTGGAATCACTAGATATTTCCATCCTATGTTGAAATATATTCTGTATCGTTCCAATTTTAGTATATGTACTGCTGAAGCGAGCACAGATGTTGAAATATAATCAATGGAATCTACTCCCAAAGAAATTTAGGTTTAATTTAAAATAAATAAGACTTGCATATATGGATACCTAAACCAGATATTTGGTTTCAATTTTTAATTTAATAGCACAAAATATATTGTATGTCTTAACAACTGTAATCTTTGACATAGATTATATGATGCCCTATTTTCTTGCAAAGTAATTTGCTATAATAATTTGTACATTTTTTCAAGGGATACACACAGAGAATTTCAGTTATCTCAGGTGGTACCAAAGGGGGAACAAGCATATATAAGTGACCAGGATAAGGGGTTGTAAAATATGCTTATCAATTTCACAGATGACCAAAAGATTAGAGGGATAGCTCATGTCTTATAGGGCAGGATTGCAGTTCAAAAGGATTTTGACAGCTGAAATACATAGAAACTATTAAGATGAATTTCAGTTGGGATACTGCAAACTTCTACATTTAGATTTTAAAAATCAAAGGCATAGGTTATACTGGGCAGCATTATATGAAAAAAATAATTTGAATGTCTTGGTACACCACAAACTGAACTTCAGTAAACAATGTGATGCACTGAAAAAAAGCAAAAGCATTCATAGGCCACAGCAACATAAACTTAAGATCAAGAGAAGTTATGGTTCCACATCTACAATATTGTATCAAGTTGTGGCACTGGATATTAGGCATATCACTGACAAAGTACATTGAGAGAGTATAGAGGACAGTCACTAAGATAATAATTCAGAAAGAAAAAACTTATGGGGAAAATTGGCAGGTTTTAGGTATCTTTGGCCTGGAGAAAATTATGAACAAACATAACAGCTGTTTTCAAATATCTGAAGGGCTATCATTTAGAAGAACAGAATTATCCAGAGTTGTTGCCAAAGACATGACATGAAACAGTAAATTTAAATTACACAGGCTTCATTTGAGCATTAAAACATAAACTTAAGATCAAGAGAACTTTTACCGAATGGTAAAAGTTATTTAACAATGGAACAGGCTACTATAAAAAGCGATGGACTCTTTTGCTGGAGACTAGATGGTCATCGATCCATTGGGGATGCCCATTGTAATAGATTCTGCACTGGACAGGGTGTTTGACCAGATTACCTCCAAGGTCCCTTTCAATCCTTGCAATCTAGGCTGTATGAGTCTAAAAAGCATGAAAGGAAATATACTGTATAAAGCTAGAACTGTAAAAAATAAGACTTGTAAGCAACATACATTAAAAAATGATTGGAACTGCAACCTATACATAAATAGAATCTAATATTTTGTGTATATATATTTGTATTTGCAGTATATACATACGTGCTCGAAGATCATTTATGTGATTTCCATTCTGCCAGCAGGTGATTCCTGGGGGTGGCTCTGTGGCCAGTAACTGCAGCTCTCTCTTCAGCCGTGAAGCCCTTTGCATTGCACTGCAATGACATAAGCAAAAACTCTACATCATTTAGTGCCTTTCTTTTCAGTTCCCATTAATCTTCCTCAAATCATACATTTTAATATAAGGCATAAACTTTCATGAGCAGTTCACTTATTCAGAAGTTGCATCTCACAAAAGCTTATACGCCTTACAATCAAATGTATTACTCTTGAAAAGTACTATCAGAATCTTTCTGATTTTTAGCTATTGACTAACCTAACCCTCCCAACTGCAATTTCACAAATCTTGCAATACTCCTTAATAATTATATCATTGTATAAGTAGATTATTTAAAGAGAGACAGGATGTACAGGACAATTAAAATATTTTTATCTGAAAATACTAATCCACTTCATAATAAATTCATGGATAAACTATCAAAATAATTTCTCCTGATTAGCATACTAAGTTAACCCTCTTAACTGGCCTTGGATAAGACACAGAAAAGTGGATATTTCAGATGTGAAACTGTGGCACCTTTTTTCCTGCCCAGAGTCTCTTCTGTTAGGTAAATCATTAAAATGGTAAAACAAATAAATGTTAAGTGAAGCAACTGGAAGAGGCCTACTTCGTGACTTCGAAGTTTGGAAATGATGGAACCTGTAATCCTATACTTACGAACAGCATCATATTAGGGAAGTCCTTTGATTGGTCAAGTCTTCAAGGTTAGGGCTAGTGCCCTCCCTTTTCCTATTTCCCCAATGTGTCTGCCCAAGGAAATGGGGGACCAGGAGAGCTTAACTGTTGTCCCAAGGAGTAACCTGGGTTTAATAAGAGAGATTACCATCCTCCCCACACACACTTAGAATAACTTTACTGTCACTTTAAATGTACACTAATTAGCATACATTAAAATAAAACTTCGTTGCATACAATTGTCAAAAGGACACCACCTCCAATATACACTACATAAACACGTCAAAATAAATAACAAATTATGCATATAGCCACATATATTATATCGCATTATATTATATTACACACATGAAGGGCTCACGAAGGCATTCTGTCAAACAAAGAGGGAGCAGCAATTTAATAATAACGTAAAGGTTTTAACATACATACCGTAAACTACGGTCGTTTTCCTTCCTCCGCCACGAACCCTCTCAGGATCCGCGCACTCAAGCCTTGCCTCAGAGCACCGGGGCTACAATCCTGGAGAGCAAAGCTTTCTCCGGGAAGGAGTCGGCCTCGCTCCTTTTTCGCCTCTGGGAGACGGCAGGAGCCCGAGAACCGAAGACAGAATATCTTCCTTTAGCGGCCCAGAAAAGGCTCCGTTGAGCTCTGAAGCCAAACTGAGGGGAAATTTCGGAAAGCGCGCCACAAGTTCTCAACCAGCAGGAGCCAAGATGTCTAACAGCCTGCAATGTGACCGGGTGAAAAAAATGCCCTTCAAGATCTGACTCTATGCCGATTGGCTATTACAAAAAATGGTTCCCGCCTCAGGAAATCTAGCAGTTCCAGGAGGATCTTGTCACTTGGTTAAGGTTTCCGGGACGGGGCATAACAAATACATTCATATATCCTTGTCTAATGCTTTGCAACTATCCTCACGCAGCCATCACTCTGCTAATTTAAACGTCTGTCTTAGTTGCTGTTATATTCGCACAACGATGGTTGAATGACAAAATGACAATCGGAGCTCTACTATAAGTTACTAGGAAGGAAAGGTTTTGTGGGCTTGTTTGTGGTTTTCACCATCAAGGTGGAGCAACAGCTACTGGCAACTTTTAATTCAATAATTTATCCAATAATACTAATTCAAGTCATTCAGTAGGGATCATGAGCCCAACCAAATAAGATGTATTCTCCAAACTAGACTTTTGTGCAAAACATAGGCTGGAAATATAATCAATCTGAAGGTACTTTTTATCATAGTTGATGGAAAGCTATGAAATATTGGGGTCAGATATGTATTTTAATTCAGAGTATTTTCAAACTAAATTTATAACTGGAACCAGATGTTCTTTTAGATTTGATGAATAAACATGCAAAAATATATGGAACTCTCTTTTTATATATGATAACAGTAGTGAGACTTCTTTATGTGCAGAGATGAAAGGATTCACAGATTCTTACAATGCAACAATGGATGATGAAGCTAAGTAGAGTTGGCAAAGATGGTGAAATTGATTGTTTTGATTAAAAAATACTTTGCTTAACTTCATTTATATAAATAAAATATGTATTTATAAAATATTTTGAAATGCAATAAATAATGCTTTTGTCAGGGTAAGCTTACCTTTAGTAATTATATATGGAAAATTTTGTTTTCTGTAATTACTCAGTGACTTTATTAAAAATATATTAAAGTTGTATTTTAATCTTTTACTATTACATTTCATTAATAAATATGCATTTTTATGTTTAATTTTTTGTCTGTTTCCATCAAGCTGCAGCCAATTGCCTTCTTTTCCACATAAATATCACTTCAAATAGTGTGAATTTGAATAATGTGACTATTTCATAAGATTCAGTATCAGCACTAAACGAAACCTACCTGTATATCCATATCTTTCCTCTTATTCCGACAACAACCTTAGGTGGCCCTAAATTAGTAAGAGCCCATCCGAATAATTTCCTTGTTCTGGCATGAAAAGTTCCTGCTTCACTATTGGCTAAGAACAAGTCCTCATGGTTTCATCAGTCTGCTGCTAAAGTAGTCCAAGATATTAGATAATCCAATGCTGCTGCTAAACTAGTCCAAGATATTAGATAATCCAATGTGAAAGTGGTGAGAAATGTTCTATGAGGAAAAGATAAATTTGATGGAGATGACTTAAGATGTAGTTGAGATTGGCAATCTGCTGGGTTTAGGTTGGTCTGACAAAATTATTGTGGGACTGCCACCTTCAGTTATTGGGTTGAGCATCTCTACTGCAGTGCTGTTTTGGCTGAAAGGAAGATCAGAACTCCATAGCTTCTACATCCACCATATTTGTGTTTTGTTTTTCTAATGGGTAGGCCAATCAATCAACCTAGAACATAGTTGGAAGGTATAGTTAGAGGCCTTCTAGTCCAACCCCTTGCAGGAGACCCTACATCATTTCAAACAAATGATTACCTGGGCTCTTTGAGAGCCTTCTATGATGGAGCACCCGCAACTTCTGAAGGCAAGCTTTTTCATTGGTTAATTGCTCTCACCTTTAGGAAGTTTCTCCTTAGATTGCTTCTCTCCTTGGTTAGTTTCCAACTATTGTTTCTTCTTGGATTTTGGTGCTTTGGAAAATAGTTTTGACACACACACACACACACAGTCTTTGAAGGAGCCCCTCAAATATTGGAATAGTGCTATCATGCCCCCCACCTACTTATCATTAGACTAGACATATGCAAATTCTGTAACCATTCTTCATACATTTTAGCCTCCAGCCCCCTAATCATTTTGTTGCTTTTCTTTGCACTCTTTCCAGAGTCTCAACATCTATTTTCCCCACAACAACCTTGTGAGGTGGGTTGGGCTAAGAGTGACTGGCTCAAAGTCACCCAACTGGATTTCATACCTAAGGGATGTGCGTGGATGTAGAATGTAAATTCTAATGAATATAGCCTGCTAAAGCTAAAATTGATGTGTTGAATTTTAGAATGTGTATTTAATTCCTACTGTGACAATTATGTAATTTGTCCAAAAGTTAAGGATTTATTCTTTCAGTTGAATTAAAAACTATTAATAGAAATGTATACATAAATATTTTAAGGCGACAATAAATTAATGGAACCTGCCAAACTGAAAAAGTAGCATCATGATCAAAATCAGACAAGAGTTCTAATTTCCCTTTTTTTTCCCCAAACAGGAAATACTCAAATCAATCCGGATATCCTTCTTGCTAACTCACCTCCCTTCCTCCAAATGGCTATAAAAGTAGTAAAAATGGCGCTTCTTAATTAAGAAACGAAAGTAGGAAGCGATGGACGGAAGTGTACAGGAAATGGCTGTTTATGGCTGTACAGCGAAGACAAGAGAGTAGGTTTATTAGGCTCTCCCTACGTCCGGACATGCGTCATCAGAGTGGATTTAAGACTTATCCCTTGGCAAAGGGGTGATCGTCGTCGTCTCGGAGAACTCTTCCGGGATTTAGTCCTGGAGTTCCCCATTTGCGATGTCCGAGATGGCGCTGGGGGCAGTAGCTACGAATGGAAACGGGGAGGGGTTAACACCCCATCCCAGTGAATATTGAGGGATATTTTCCTCCCCAGCTCTCTGCTTACGCAGGGAAAGGGGGGGGGGGGCGGAGGGCGACGTGGTACCTGAACACATCAGCTTGGTTGCGAAGACTGTCTCTAAACAGCTCCGCGGTTGTACCCGGCCCTAGTGGCTTAACTCCCAGGGCGCCCCATAGTTGCTGCTCCCTCGCTGGCCCTCTACTGTAGAAGCTCCTTGCTGATTCATGAGGAACATGGCGAAAGCCAACACTGTGTCTCTTCTTTTTCCTGTTGAACGTGTCCCCCTTGGTCTTCAAACTTGACAGCTTTAAGACTTGTGGACTTCAACTCCCAAAATTCCTGAGCTAACATGACTGGAGGAGGAATTCTGGGAGTTGAAGTCCACAAGTCTTAAAGCTGTCATGTTTGAAAACCTCTGCCGGCTTAGATATTCATTGAATGGTGAAGTGGTTGG